TACTTTTAAGGTTCATTTTTTTCCTTCCTCACTCCACAAATAAATTGATATATAACGGTTAAAATAAATACCAAGTTTCTATAATTTATTTGATAATTCATATTGACATACAATGAGACACTTGTACACATGCAATCATATTATCTTAAATAATTGTTTAGAGAATAAAATTTAAAATCAAGTTTGTGTCGGATATTCTGTTTATAAAGAGTCATAATATAGAACTGTTGATTCATACATATTTTTTTTTTAAATCATGTCAGAATTTCAGCACCAAATACGTACCATATCTGATTATTTATAAGATGCCACCCTGATTTACATTTAATATTACAATATGATGAAGTTAACCTATGTTCAATTAATGATGGTTCACAAGGAAAAAAAAACTTACAGCTACATCACATTGAAACACTCGTTCATATATGATCACTAAAGTTAAGCAATGTTGAACCTAGTCAGTATCTAGATGGGACACTGCTTTGGGATACTAGGTGCTATAAGCTTGGATGTGCAGGTGGTGTAAAGGATAATGGCTTAGAGTTGTTAATCATAAAGCAGATTTCCAATTCCCATTGGCTTCATTATATTCACTTATGTGTAAATACCCTTGGCAAAGGCATGAAGCCACCTCTCCCCACCACATATACCAGCTATGGGTTAATTAGTAAGACTTCTATCACTAAATCATTATTATTTAAAAAAACAAAAAAATCTTACAATATTTGCTGGCTTTAAATAAGTTGCAAATGGTTGATAAACTGTAGAAAATGCATGAATCAATTAATCAACAAGGAAAAAAAATACTGGGAGAAGTTCTATGTTAATATCACCAAATAGAGTAATTTATAAGATCATAACCAGAAAATTTTACAAAAAAAACTGCTAAGAACTGACAATATAATGAACATATAAACATATTCACAAATGAATCAAAACTAACGACAAGTAAAAGAAGGAAAACAAAAGAAATTAACTTACTGTCCTCTAGCCATTTGTATAAAATAAATAAAAAGAACACCATTGATGTAACAAAAGAAAGCATTACATCTATTATGGAATAACAATTAATAAAATCATACTAGAGAATTTTCAGAATTTCTTTAGGGTGCCTATTCATGTTTCATATAGAATCGGCCTATTACATGTTTTTGATAATCCATTTCACCATGATAGGGTGGTACTGTTGATTTTTCCCTATTTTCCTATTTTATAAGTTTTGGATCGGTTGTATGGAGACATTAATGAATAATTTGTGATTGAAACCAGCTAGAAAGCATACTGAAAGGAGAAATGTTCACATGTGTAGATTGCCCCATATCGCAGATCATTATGTTAGATTATAGGTGATGAAAAAGGTACATCATTCAGTATGAAGCTGACAATATTACTGATGGTGGCAGTTTTATTGATGACTGATACCCTTGGTCTGATGCGTTGTGGTACAATGTATATTGGCTTGGAATGAGAAATCAGAAAGCCAAGTTCGAATTCCAGTTAAGTTTGTTATATTTGACAATGCACAAATACCCTTGCAAAAAGTATGAATTCATCTCTTCTCACCCCCCCACTTATGGGTTAAATAGCAGGACAGAGTGAGTCCTGTAGTCTTGGTTGGTAACCAGTTTATCGCAGAAAGAAATAGCCACCTACTGCAGGAAAATCCTTTGCCTAGTCAGCCATGAATTGAAAGAGACACAATCATCCAAGAGTGTATCATGTATGACATTTGACTGACTGATACCTTTTGTCTGATGAACAAAAATTGATGACATAAATGAAATTGACAATAACCATGGGCAACCATGATAGGAGGTATGGTTAAATTTTCAGCATAGTTTTTCAAGTATCAGAGAAAATACAATATTTGATAACGTACAAGACAATGCTCCCCCCCCATCAGTTTACATTATACAGTATTATAGAGTTAGACTACATGCAAGTACTGTTAGTCTATTACTGTTCTTTTTCTTATTTATTATATATATATATATATATATATATATATATATATATATATATATGCATGCATAGACACATGCAAGGTGCTACTGAAATATCCAAGGAACTTAAGACAAGAAGAAGAAAATCAAATTGATAGAAAATGAGTTTATACACTGGTGGAATGATTCAAGATGTGTGAAATGCCTAGGAAGACATAAGATAAGCTAGGTAAATTGACAAATAGATTAAAATTCAAGGTATTATATATTGGTGGCTGATTAGTCAAAGTTTGGAAATAAAATGAAAATATTAATTATCACCATTTTGAATCTCAATACAAAATCTCTCAAATGATAGACAAATGATAAACTGAAACATAATGATCAACTTGAGACTTACCTGTGCAAAAAAAAAAAAAAAGATCAGAAATAAAAATTTGCTCAATTTTTCATGATTTTAGAAAAGGCAAAATAGAACAACTTGAAATTAATGAACTGGACTAATCTTTAAAAAGAAGTGAAACATGTATGGTATGGACTGACCGACAGTAACTGAATGACCTCAATCGTAGTTGAGACATGCAGGGACTTGCTGAACAAATCATAATCAAAGAAAGCTCATGATGGTCAAGCAGTTAGCTTAATTAGTGACTCTAGACTGATGGCAGAAGCTGGACTGGAAAAGTTGCAATAATGAGATTGCTTCTTCATTAATTGCTTAAACAATTTTCTTTTTAAAAACTTATGCCTTGCTTATTTTAATTTTTTTCATTGGGAGTGGACACTCTTTTGCTAAAGACTTCAATTTTTTTAAAACTCTTCTTTTCTCTTATTTCATGCACATAAACTTTCAGGTTTTCAATATCAAAGAAAAAATATAAATAAAATTTCCTTTGTCTTATTAATATAAAGAATTTGAACATTTGAAGTTTTACTTTGGGTTTTGACTCAAACACTGACTACTGACACCAATGAGAACTTCATAACTCAATACTTTGTAATGAGACAAAAAGTGCCCAACAATTTATAGTTGAGAAACATGTCTCCATTAGCCAGCCACTACTTAAAGTTTTATGTGGGCATAAGCACAGAATATATAGGAAAACTTGTGTATATATATATATATATATATATATATATATGTGTGTGTGTGTGTGTGTATTAACACTATCTATATCATCGATATTGAACATTTTACCACAAAGCCTGCTTGTCTTAAATGACTCCTTATCAGCAAACCACTGAAAAACCAGCAATTTTGAGCCCTAAAACAGTCTTTCAAATTAATACATTTATATATGTGTGTGTATATATATATATATATATATACACACACACACACACAGTAAAACAATACTCATGTGTTAGAGTTTTCTGTGACTTGTGGACAGATGTTGAAGCTGTTGTCTCACAATCCTCAAGCAATAAGAGTGACGATATACTCAGTTATATTAGATGTGTTTTGTATATTTTTTTTAATCAATTCACCGCAAACAAGGCAATAATACTAATACAATGCAAGGGGATACTGGAAGTGAAAGAGAAAGAAAAGACTTTAGACAGAACCAGAAACCTAATTCTAAAGAGGAAGCAATCCTCTTGTACTATTCAAAAAACTGAGGATGATTATCCCTGTTTGCCTTCATTATATATATATATATATATATATATATATATATATATATATATATATATATAGTTTTTAAATCCTTTCATCCCAAGCAAGGCAATAAAGTCCCCAAGACACAAAGGATTATTGTGTGAAAGAGAATAAAAAAAAAAAATCTATTAAGGCAAGAGAAAAATAAAAGAACAGGAATTAAGACAGAAGATAACAATTGGCATTGCATTTAAAATTTTGACAATCTAAGTTACAATCTTAGTTACATCTAGCCATTTCAATTGTAAAATGATGAAACCTTCCCCCCCTCTCTCTCTCTCTATATATATATATATATATATATATATATATATATATATATAGAGAGAGAGAGAGAGGGGGAGGTTTCATCTATATATATATATATATATATATATATATATATATATATACATACATAATAAAACATATACCTATTCCTTATATATTTTATTAATGATGTCCATATCCACAGACTGTATATTTGGGTTATAATTATCAACAACCAAAGCTTGATTGATGTTTGAAATTTTTCCATAAAATAAGGAAAATTAACCCAGTGCCTATAACACAATTTGTTTTATTATACTTAAAACCAACTTCAACCACAAATCAATTCCACTGTTGAGAACTGTTTTATGTTTAAAATCTGCACACACACAAGGCTGAACAGCCTCATACTTAAGATGGTGGGGACAAAAACAAAAGACTAATCTCACTTTTGGCAATCTGAAGAGAAGGAAGTTATTGATCGTATGACCTTTAGGTGAGAAACTGCAGGTAAACGGAGGTGTGCAGCAGTAGGAGATGGTGAACCTATCCCCACCCCTGGCCTGGGAACCTGACCTTACCCAGACAGCTTATGTAAAATGATAAATAGCTGAAGCAAAATCTCAGACCATTTTTTTGGTCCCCCTGCCCCCCAAAACCAACCCACCCACCCATTACAGCCAGCTCACAGAAGAAGAAAAAAAAATTCAGAGGCAAGAAATTGCTCAGTTGGTAGAACTTTAAAAAGTGAAATTGCTATATTCATTTTTTTGTCTGAAACTGAGATGATTTGCTAAGATTAAAGGAATTTTTTTATTTTCATTTTGAGACAATCTTCATCATAATTGTCTTTTGATTTTACTGATGATCATCACGTAAAGAACCCACTGCCTGTACAAGAGAAGAGTCGCCCAGAAGAAACACCACTCAATGTAGCCATTTCAGATTAAGATCCAATTAAATAAAAGTAAATAAAAAGCTGAAAATTGCATATACAACATCCCATGCCACTGTGAGAGAATATAAAAAGAGAAAAGAACTGCTTCCCTAACATTTGAAAAGAACTGGAAGTCGAAAACTGGAAGAAAATACAAACGAACATGAGTATTAGGCACTCTAAAAAAAAATTGATAGTTTTGACAAATATATCAACTAGAAAATAAAGGAATTGAAACATATGGTGTTATAAGCTTCAAACAGAGAGAGGAGGAAAAAAGGAGAGGAAAGGAAAAAGAAAAGGAAGACAAAAAGAGGGAAGGAAAAGGAAGAGAAAAAAGGGAAAAGGAGGAAAAAAGGAAAAGGAAGAACAGAAAAGAAAAAAAGGAGGAAAAAGGAAAAGGACAAAGAGGAGAGAAAAGGTAGGACAAAAAGGAGAGGGAAAAGGTAGGAAAAAAAAGGAGAGGAAAGGGGGACAAAAAAAGAGGGGGAAGGTGGGACAAAAAGGAAAGGTGGGACAAAAAGGAGAGGAGAAAGGTGGGAAAAAAGGAGAAAGGTGGGACAAAAAAGGAGAGGGAAAAAAAAAAAGGGAGAGGACAAAAAGAAAGGTGGGACAAAAAAGGAGAGGAGAAAGGTAGGACAAAAAAAAGAGGAGAAGGAGGACAAAAAAGGAGAGGAAAAAAAAGGAGAGGAGAAAGGTAGGACAAAAAAGGAGAGGAGAAAGGTAGGACAAAAAAGGAGAGGAGAAAGGTAGGACAAAAAAGGAGAGGAGAAAGGTAGGACAAAAAAGGAGAGGAGAAAGGTAGAAAAAAGGATAGTAAAAGGTGGAAAAATAGGATAAAAAAAAGCTCGTAAAAGAAGAAAGGAAAGGAGGGAAGAAAGAAGGAGAGGGGGAAGAAAGAACAAAAAGGAAAGGCAAGAAATGGTGAGAGAAAGGGTACAGAAGAATTGACGGAAGAAAAAAAGGGAAAGAGGAGAGGAAAGAAGGAAGAGAGAGAAGAAAGATGAAAAAAGTGAAAAGAGGAGTTATTGATGCATTTGCTTTTTTTATGACTTATCAACCTTTTAAGGGTCATTTAATTCTGAATCCTATTTCAGATTATAGGAGTTTGCTTACAGTACCTGGTGTTCCTAAGTGGTCCCCCCTTCTATCAAAGTACTGAATGGGCTTAACCTAGGTGATCAAACAAGAACCATTGTGAGAAGAGGAAAGGAGAAACAAAGAAAGGAAATGGGGAACAAGAAAATTGGGAAATTATTTAAAATCAACTTTGGTACAAACCAAAATATTTTTAATAACAAATATTTAATTTGATTTAAGAAAGACTATGAAAATAAATGTTAAAACAAACAGATTGAGGTTTATAATATTTTGAAGAGAAGAGTTAATTTCAAAAATCAATTTTTCAATGGAATATTTAAAAGTTAAGGATAATTATGCAAAAGATATTTTGGCATTTTCTTTTTCGGAATATATTTCAGATTCAGTCAAATTTCTTGCAAAAATCCAAGAAAAATAAATAAATAAAAGTACATGAATTTATGGGAGAATAGAAAAGTAGATATTTTTAAAATCTTAATTCCAAGGCCAATATCAAAAACTGCCTGATAGGTGAGGGAAAACAACAATGAGTGTAAGATCATTGAAGTTTAAGTTAAATATTTGTCTCAACATAAATATTAAAATAAATGAATAATATTGCAGACAGTTTGGTTTTATATGACAAAGTTTTACAAGAGACAGAAGAATTGTAATTTTTTTCATATAAAGTATACTAGATTTATAAACAAAGAACTGTATCAAATAAAAGAAACCACATCACTTGAGGAATTTCAACAACAGCCACAACTAAAATAGATATCACAAGTAACTTGAAGAGAAAATGATATCATGAAGATGTTGACATTTCATACTACTTCAAACAAAAGGTTAGAATGGAAACCTCTATCAATAATAGAAATAGCAGTAACAGTTACTGGATCTGAGAAATCTTTTTTCCTGTAAAATTGTTTTATCCAAAAGATTTTATAAATTTCAACTGAAAATAGCACTGGCTGCTTGGTCAGTAAATGTTGAATGTTTCCTTAGAAGGAAACAGCTAATATTATCATTACCACTAAAGATGAGAGAAATAGATACTACACTTTGATCACAACCCAATGGCCAGGGAGTGAAGAAAAGTGTAACTTGAGTAGCCCTGGCTGCTTGGTCAATGAATGCCTAATGTTTCCATATAAGAATATTATCATTACCATTATTTTGGTACCATGATTTTGGCTTTGTAAGGCACTGTGCTGGTTATTGAAGATTATTCTTTTAAAGCACTAACTCATTATCATTTATAACATTGAGAAAAATCATGAACATATCTAATATTGTATGCCTACTCAAATCTCTTTACATATTTCTTGTTTATACAAATTTTCAACTAATTCATTCTTCAGCCCTTACAAAGTGCAAACCATGGACAAGAGAAAACCTAAACTTAAAGACAAATAGGTAATAGAAATTTTGTATATTAATAATTACATCTCTGATGAGGGCTGAAGAATTGATCAGCTAAAATGTGTTAACAGCAAAGGAATCATTATATCTATTTTAATTTTATTTTTAATTTGAGAATCATTGTATCTATTTTAATTTTATTTTTAATTTGAGAATCATTGTATCTATTTTAATTTTATTTTATCTATTTTAATTTTATTTTTAATTTGAGAATCATTGTATCTATTTTAATTTTATTTTTAATTTGAGAATTTTATCTATTTTATTTTTTTTAATTTGAGAATCATTGTATCTATTTTAATTTTATTTTTAATTTGAGAATCATTGTATCTATTTTAATTTTATTTTTAATTTGAGAATCATTGTATCTATTTTAATTTTATTTTTAATTTGAGAATCATTGTATCTATTTTAACTTTTAAATAACTGTATCTATTTTAACTTTTAAATAACTGTATCTATTTTAACTTTTAAATAACTGTATCTATTTTAACTTTTAAATAACTGTATCTATTTTAACTTTTAAATAACTGTATCTATTTTAACTTTTAAATAACTGTATCTATTTTAACTTTTAAATAACTGTATCTATTTTAACTTTTAAATAACTGTATCTATTTTTAACTTTTAAATAACTGTATCTATTTTTATCTATTTTAACTTTTAAATAACTGTATCTATTTTAACTTTTAAATAACTGTATCTATTTTAACTTTTAAATCTATCTATTTTAACTTTTAAATAACTGTATTTTCTATATTTTAACTTTTAAATAAACTATTTTAACTTTTAAATAACTGTATCTATTTTAACTTTTAAATAACTGTATCTATTTTAACTTTTAAATAACTGTATCTATTTTAACTTTTAAATAACTGTATCTATTTTAACTTTTAAATAACTGTATCTATTTTAACTTTTAAATAACTGTATCTATTTTAACTTTTAAATAACTGTATCTATTTTCTATTTTAACTTTTAAATAACTGTATCTATTTTAACTTTTAAATAACTGTATCTATTTTAACTTTTTTATTTTAACTTTTAAATAAATCTATTTTTAACTTTTAAATAACTGTATCTATTTTAACTTTTAAATAACTGTATCTATTTTAACTTTTAAATAATTGTATCTATTTTAACTTTTAAATAACTGTATTATAAGATAATGAGAATACTCAATAATTGTTAAATTTTAATTTTAAAACATTTATTAAAAAGCAAATCACTTTTCATTTTATAATGCAAGAGAAAAAAAATAATTTTGTAAATATAAGAAAACAAAAAATACAAGCGATGATAGGACAATTTCAGCCTTTATTTTTATTTCAACTCCAACTTGATGTAAAATTCACATATATGAAATCAAAGGTTCAAGATTCAAATGCTATTGGTCATTAATGTTTCAATTATTTAAAATAAAATAATTAAAGAAAAAAATATTTTAGATTGCTGAAATAGTGATCTAAACATTTACTTGGCTTTCCAATTAAATCTTTCTTGATCTACTGAGACAAGTTGTCTGACCACAGGTAAATTGTATATCTTTATCATACACAGCTCAATTATACTAACAATATTAATAAAAATGTTAATGACATTCTATTAATTACAAATAGCCCTCTAGTCCAATGCTTTATTATCCAGAATGATCCAATATATTTTGAATCTGCTGCCATTAGTTTGATAATTTGCCATGAAAGTCGTTTAAGTTTCAACCCATGGAATGAGCTGTAATTTTCCAGTTGTTAAACTCAATGTGTAAAATCTAACACTTGTTGAAAACCAAAATTAAAGAATTCTAAATGTGATACATTCCAACATTAATTTTAGCACACATTTAGATATGGATTTATTTTTTCTGAATCTTAATTTTCTTTTTTTTTTTTTTAAATTCAACAAATTAAAAAGTATAAGTACAAATAATTAGCATGATATAAATTCTATTAAAAATATATCACTCTCTTTCTCTAATCACTATTAGAAGTAAATTTATTTTCTGGTATTTTATGTTGTTCAACAATGTCTATATTCCAAGGTTGCTAGATTAACGAGATACAACAGCCTAACTACCATTTGGTATATCAATACAAAGTGGGACTAGTCCATTAAAACTTCTACTAATTGGAACCACCCAATTAAATTTTTGCTGAGTGGGATAAGCTCATTAAACAATTTTACTAAGTAGAATGAGTTCATTAAATAACTTTATTAAGTAGAATAAGCCTGTTAATTTTTCCCAAGTGAGAATAACACATTAAAATTTCATAGATGAACTTTCTTAACAGACATGAAAAACAACTAATATTATGAAATGTACTGAACTATTTATTTTATCATAGTAAAAATGAAGTAAATGACAGGAATTAAATGAAAAACAAAGAAAATATAAACAAATTAAAATAACTGTTTGTAATCCTGCTATCAGGTATTCTTGCATGAAATTGAAGGCTCCTAACAAAATGGTATACAAGCTTGAATTTTGATACCAAACACTACTTCCTTGCATTCAGTTTTTTGTAATCTCCCGAATAGATAACTTGTGCACACTACATGTCACAAGTAAACTGTTATTATGATAAAAAAATAATAAACATTCTTACATCATCTTCTTAAGACAATTATTTTTTTTTACTAATATTCACCCAATACAAAACCTAAGAGCCACTCAAGGTAGCAGGTGTTGTATTAGCGTAAAAGAGAGCAAGAAGTGAAGTTCTTGAGAGCCATGCAGGAAAGATAACAGCTAACTCTAGAGTTGAAGAGATCAAGATTTAATTAGTGAATAACATTTCCATGGTCAGTCAGAGATGTTAGAAGTATAAAATTGAAGCAGACTTTAGAAGGAACTGGAAACCCAATCCTAAACAGGAAAAGGGATAAATCTCTACTTTTGTTTAAAATACCACAGAGGGTGTGTGTGTGAAAGCACTTAGTGAATTTTTTTTTTAAATCTCATCTGCTACCAAAAAGCAGTACTCAAGCCATAATAATGTAATGGTTAACAAGCTGATCTTGAAAACCATTAGTAATGAGTTCAATTCTCACTGGGTGCCCCATATTTGTAGCCTTGTTCCAAAATTAAGGTATGCTCAATAAACAGCTAAAAAAGAATATTTCATCTTCCAGAGGAACTTAATAGTTCATAACATTTTTCTAGGCTTTAACAAGATCTTTCTTAAAAAAAAAACAAACAAAAAAAAAAACTAATGATCATTGTAACCTTTTGTCATTACTATTTCCTATTTTACAAGTTCAGAGCAGTTGTTTTACCAATCAAATGGCTCAAGTTCAAACTGCTTTCAATCTATGTGTATTATTCAGCTTTTTATAAATTAGACAAGAAATTTCCAAACAGGTCCATTGAAACACTTTAGTATAATCAATTACCCATTATTTCTTTAATTATTTAAATTTTTCAACAAATTAAATTTTATTTTTAAAAAACATGTTGCGAATGCAGATAGTTTCAAAGCATTAGACACACATTTAATTAGATTTTAAATTAATTACACTAAAATTGTTAATATTTCAAATGGTTATTCACATCTCATCATCTGAACAGAATGA